CGATGCAAGGGATGAAAGAAGTCCAGAGAGTCACTACCACACATAATTAGCCAGGACGACTTACCATGTGAGGGCACAAAAGAAACAGTTTCATTTAGGAGCAAAGATAACAAAGGCTTTCAAATGTTCTGGTTAGAAAATTAATTGTAGGGCAGTATGAATTATTAAACATTATCCCATGATACCAAGTTACACAATGTTTATTCAGAATTAAGAGGGCCAAATGTGTAAAATTATATAACTAACACAACAGCAGTGTAAATGTAGAAACCCAGCAGGTTCATTATTTAAAACTGGCTTTCTTGTGCCTTAATTAACGTGAGACAGGATATATGAATTATTATTATGATTATTATTATTACTAAAAATAATGATATTTTTTGATACAGGAAAGGGAAGATACTTGCAATTCCTAGATGACACAGAATAACAAACACAGGTCAAAGGAAAGAGGAAAAGATTAATTTTTCTAGTAAATGAAAGAAACATTAATCAAAACTTCATTATATTTTTCAAAAAGAAAAAATGTGCAGCTGCTTTGGTCAGCTGTACATATTTTATTTCCCAATTTTGTTAATGTATTGTCTGAAGATCTTCAGGAACGTAAATTTTTAAACAACTCTAACCTACATTGTAGGTGCCCATATCTACCTTAACTAGCTTCATCCTAACCCATCCAAATCAGAGAGTAGATCTACCTTTTAAAAAATTAATTTATATTATAAATTAAGAGCAAGGAAAATGCTTTAATGCCTTACACACTTTAATTCTTCCCAAATTCCTAGCAAACTATACAGTACAAAGGAATTCAGCAAATAGATACTTTATGAATAATGAACAATCTAGCAAAGGAACCTGTAAAAAGAAATGATAATTGCCCTGGTGAGGAAGCCAAGACCTCCACTAGTCAGTTTGACCCACTCCACTGTTCACGCCATTTTTATACTTTTATCTCTGTACGGCCTCTGTGTCCCTCCTCCCATGTACCCGTTCATGGTGTGTTCTCCTTAAGCACAGATCTGTACCTTATTCACATTCTTATTGCAGGTGCAGCACTGGCCAGAGGCAGTGAAAGCTGCCTAAAGAGTGTGGCCTGGATGAATGAGTGATCCTTACCACTGAAACTGCCTGGAGGGAAACACTTGTAAATTCTATGAGCGTTTAAAGAAACATGCTCTGATATGCGCTCTTAACTTGCAATGTATCAAAGAGTGGCATAAAGTAGACATGATCCTTGCTCTGCAAAGACTTTATCCTTTAGCTGCAAAGAAGTCACATAATGTGGAGCTTCTAATAGGAGCCATGACTCGTGAGGAAACAAATCCTGGCTGTCCAGCTACACTAGTCGTACGTGTCTGGCCATGGACATGACTGCTTCTTCATTTTACTTTTCTTCACATATAAAATAGGGTATTGGGTTAGAATAGCATTTTTTTCATGAAAAAAATCTGTAAGTACAGAGATCTTCTTAAAAATAAGTATTAATGAAACTTTAATTCTGAATTTTTAAAAAATAAAGATGGAGTTGATGTAGTCAGTTGAAATAGGGATGATGCTTACCGGAGACAGACCTTTCCTTTCCCCTCACTCATACATGAGGGAGGCCCTGAAAAGTCTCCCATGTGTCCATGGAAACCAGTTAGAATACCATGAATTAACATTCTGCAGGATTGTATATATTCAGTTCCTCTGAGGTTCTAAAAATCTACATTAAGATACTTCTCATGCAAGCATACATTACCATATAAAATCTGCAACAGCTGCATCTTTCGGGTAATTATTTTCTAACTAAACACTTATAGACTTATCTTTCAAGAATGCAGTTCTTTGCATATAACTAACAATTTTTCTAAGACTTTTCTCCATCCCCTCATTTTTTCCCCTCAGTGCTAGAGATTAAACCTAGGATCTCCCATGTGCTAAGTGTACACATTACCACTGAGCTACACATCCAACCTTTCCTACAGCTTTTTATGGAATCTTTATTACCTACAGGCACTAGAATCCACCAGAAATACCAACATTCATCATTTCCTTAAAAGAGTTTACAGTTTCACGATACCTGACTACACAAACTGCAATGGAATAGACACTGATGGTATCATCAGATAAAGCAAAATGGATGTATAAGGGCCAAGATGATTTCTAGCTGGCAAGAAGGAATGATTGAAGGAATAGGTGTTATCAAAGCTGGGCTGCAATGGATGATGGGGACAAGCTGCAAGCAACAGTCACTCTGTGAACGTGGGCAAAAAGGCAGGAAGCCATGGGACAAGCACAAGGAACTGCACCTACTGGCAGCCTGGTTCAAATGAGGGCTGGGTGAAGATAATAATGGAGGATAACACAGACTACAGGCCAAGACCTAATTATAGCAGAGGAGTACATTAAAGTAGAAGAAAGAGACTTAGGTTAGAGGCACCTGATAGGAAGCAAAAGGTCTGAATACCTTAAAAAAAAAAAAAAGATGTATGCATGGCAACTGTCACAGTAAAGGAGAAGTACACTGTGCTGTTTGGGGTCATTTCTACAGTAGCAAAATAGGTAGTTGGGATGAATGAAAATCTAACCATTAAAATCTAGGAAGCAGGAGAATGCTGATAGCATTAATAGGAATGAAAATCACACAACAAATAAATGAGTGCTAAGTACTGGCAGAAAGGCCTGTAGGAAAATGCAAATGTTTAACTGAAACTTGAGAAAGAAATCAGGTTCTGATTCTTATTTTTGTAAGAATTACAAAATGGGAATTAAAATTAGAATTAAAATGGAGAGGATACTTGTCATTTCATTTACTTCTTTCATTTTAGAGGTAAAAAAATTAAAGTTAATTAACTTTAATAGTCTATAAGAATAGAACCTTATACTTTATAGAGGACAAGAAAGCTTAGAATAAGAGATAGAAAAAAACCAAAAAATAGTAAATGGAGCTTTAAAAGCTACAGCCTTAGGGTCAACTGAAGGGTAGTTTGCTCGATGGTTTGTGTTTTACCACGTCACAGTGTTATCCTATTGGCTTCATCTCACAAATGTGAAATGAGACCTGGAGGTTAACTTGCCAAGTGACCCAGCAGGCACAAGCAGAGCTGGAATTCAAACCCAAATCTCCTGGATCTGGGTTCCTGAATGGACTGCCCTGCTGAGGTGCCAAGAGGGTCACAGGAGAATCTAGTTCTTGAGGAAGCTTCCTCTAAACCCTGTATGTTTGGATAGAACCTAAGATAAAACTTTTTGGCACCAAAGTTGGACTACACAAAAATGCATATATAAAATTTACAGAAACAAATTCCATATATTCAAAACATTTGATTCACAAAGCAGGCTCTCAAGATTGTATTTGTTTGCTTTGCAAAAAACTTTATAAAATGATACTCAAAATATTCTCTACTCCATTATGAATATATTGCAAATCATTTCCTTTTAATTTATTTTCTCTAGTGGCCAAACTCTACATAGGTCACAATATGCCTACAACGTTTTGACAAGAGACTAAGTATATTCACAAAGTTTTCCTAGGAAACTTTTCTTCTTCCATGAGTGGTAAGGCTAAATATATTAGTACCTTGGATTTTAGACCATCAGTTCCTGATACTCTTATATTTTTCTTCAAATTATACACTGTCTTAAATTAATCTATTTAGGAACACATACAAGCTATTACATATACATGCCACTACTAAAGTCTTAAACTTTAAGTCAGTTTGGAACAATTTAAGTGGCACTGATTTTTAAATTCACTCTGGTATATTATGCTTGAGATAGTCAATGGCTAAACCACTTTCCTCAATAAGCACGTGATAGAATGAAATCTATCCCCCAAGTTAGGATCCTGTAAATTTGAATTCACTGCAAAATGCTGTTCAGCAACAAGGTTAAAAAATTATGAGTGCTATGTGTCAATGAAAATAATAAAATTCACCTGGGGTTTCCATTTAAAAAATAAAGACGGGGGATATAGCTCAGAGAGGCTCAGTACCATTTGGCAAGCACAAGGTCCTGAGTTCAATTCCCAGTACAAAAAATAAAAAATCACATCTATTTTAAAGATACATTTTGATCTAAATTCTTAGTAAATTGATCAAAATGTAGCAAAGATTGTTCCCTGGCCATTTTGAAATTCAAAATTTAATTGTTGTATTTTGCTGTTGTTGTGTTTTGTTTTGTTTGTTTTATTTTTTGGTACCAGCAATTAAACTCAGGACCTGTGCTTGCCAGGCAGTAGGTGCCTATGCTAAGTTACATCCCAGGCCCTGTATTCCCCGCCCCCTCCACTGGGAATTCAACTCAGGGACTTATGCTTGCCATGTTGGTGCTGAGCTGCTGGGTTATATCCTTGGTCCCTTTATTACTGTGCTGATTAGAGAAAATCTAACAAAAGTAGTATTGTTGGTTTATGTAAGTTACAATTTATCTGGAACAATATTTCCCGAAGTACGAATCTTGAAACACTACATTTTACTATCAAACAGATTCAGGAAACATGAAATCTTTATGCTACATCAGAAACTGATAATATACCATGGCACTACAAAAGCTCCCAGCAGTTTTGAAATTAAATAGTTTTATTTAATCCATCATTTCTCAAGCGTATCTATACACAGAACCTTTTATTCTTTTTGTGGTTATTATCTATCAATGGCCTAGGATGATAAATATCATAGGAAATAGAACTGGAAAACTTTGATCTATGATAATAGGAAGAGAAAAAACAAAACAAGGGGTTGGTATTAAAATCATGTGTATTGAGTTTTGGAATAAATCAGGTTTTCTTTTAGAATACTACTTTTAAAGGATACCATAAAAATATGATTACCTGCCTATAGGCATAGCAATGGGATTAAGATGGAACAGGAGTATATACAAGGGATTTACTTAGGTTTTGCACAAAGCAGGTAAGACACTTGGTGAGAACTGGCAATGCCCATTTAATCCTTCTCTAAAATCATCTCTAAGGCAACGAGCAAAAAGAGAGTTCATTATTAAAAGGCAGACATACTTACACTGCCCATTCAAGCTTCTCATTCTTGATTGAGTTGTATAGAGCCTGTAAAGAGAGCAAATAATATCAAATTACTCATTTCATTATGTCCCATATTCTGAATTCATCTACAAGTCTTGAAAGTCTACATCTGCAATCAACACCTTTATTCTCCAACCATCCTAACCGAATGGCCTGAAGTCCCTTGTCAGGATCTTGGCCCTGAAAGATGAGGAGACTCAGTGAAGCAAAGGAGCATGGGGAAGGCAGAGTTTTATGAAACAAAGATGATTTCACAAAATAAAAGGAGGTCTTTATAAATAACAGACAGCACTGTATATTAATCTCATCATGATAAAATTCAGATACGATTAAAATCAGACTGTACAGCTTCTCTCATTCAAAACACGGCCTTATAGTTACATTCATTTGGACTTTGGTGGTCCTCATACACCTTGTTCACTAATGGAAATATCCAACCGTTTTCATAGCAACTTAATGAGTGAGACACACAGAATGGGAACTGAGGCAAACTATAGAAACACGTTTTAGAATAGTGTAGAGTTTCTATGCCAATGACTTTAGCAGTTTTTAAGTTTCATTCTAATGCCACAAACTGCTTTACACCTGAGAGGCATGGTGGTATGTGAGCGGTGGTGGCAGGGACAGAGACGCCTTTAGACCTGCGTGACAGCAATAGCATAGTCAAACCACTGTAATAACAGCATACCTATTCTAGCTCCAGAATTACAACCCCGTAATCAACTTCTTCCACTATACAGCTTTCCTGAACAATGCTTTAAATATTAAGTAAGACGTAATAATTAAAAATCCACACCTAAGATATAAAAGTCCTATAGAAAATTATATCGAATACAAGAATAATGCATAAAAATACAATGGTAGTATTGGAAGATTTTTTGTCAAAGAAGAACTTGAATCCACTGTAACTGAAAAGGCTTGGCAAATACCTCATTTACTTTAAGGCAGGATAAAGGGCATTGAGATGCCATCCAGCTATTCATCTTGCAAATGAGGAAAGACATGTTCCAAAAGTTGTCCAAGCAAGATAACAGAGGTAGAAACACTTTGTATTCTTCTCCTCTGCCTCTTAATGCATCTGTTCCAAGTGTCTACCTGCATGGCAGCAGAAAGACTGCACACTAGCAATCGCTTCCACGTTTAGTACACTTATGTGGAGGGCTCAAGTTTTATACAATTAAACATTTGATACAGATGTCCTTAGCCGGGGCCTTCATAGACGAGGCAGAAGTTTCCCAGTGTAGCTGTAATACTGGAACTACAAAATAATTATGCTAGCAAATACCAACAGGCAACATTTTATCCTTATTAGGAGATGAAGTCCGTACTAAGCATCCTCAGACAACATGAGAATATCACAAACTATAATAAAATAAACTGAGTTTTTAAGACCAAGCCTCAAGTTGGATATTCTTTTCGAAGAACCCAAATTTAGTAAAGAAATCCAACAACCTGAAGAATTGGTAATGTCTTATGAAGCTGAACACTCAAGGAAGTGCAGAAGGTCTCACAGGACTGCTACATAAAGGGTTTTCCAACGGATTCTATTACTTGTCCGTCATTCTGAACCCACAAGTAATAGTGGACTGAGAAACTGGCAAGTCAAAAGAGATAGATCATTGTATTTATGATGACACTTACTTTTAGCCAGAACAGTGTATGGTGTGGCACAGAACTTTTAAAATCTGTTCAGAAAGGTAGACAGTTTAAAAATAATAACTAGGTATCTAAAAATTTCCTAATACATTCAATTCTGCCCTACCAAAAATGCCTTTTGTCCTTGAGACTATGTGATTCAAGAGAAATGAAGTTTTTAAATTTAAAGACTTTCTGCTACTCAATCAGCCAGATATTGCACAACAAAAATCTAATGATGAAATATTTTGATTTTTCAATGTACTTGCTGCGTTATAGGTCAAATCCTCACCCTGCATATATAAGACAGATTTGTTACTGCAGCATGCCAACTCTAAAAGGTTAGTCCTATTTATATTATTTTCAATGCAGAAATTACAAAAGAAATTTCTCAAATTCTTTGTAGTGTTTTATGATGATCCTATTTTTCTTAATAAAAGATGCTTTTCAATGGCATTCAACACTACAACTTCCTATCCTTTATCTACTAAGCCGAGTCAAGAATTTAATTCATCTGATTCCTATTTATTTTTTACCTGATGATCATCACTTGTTTTTGCATGCAACCAAGACCCATGGAGTATCATATGGTCTATCATTTCAACAACTCTTGTTAATACTGACACTCTCAGATTTAGATTCAAAAATCCAAAATCTGAAATGTTTCAAAATCTGAAATAACTGATATCAAGCATATCCAAGCATATCCCACAGTTGCAAAATCCTGCACTATGAAACACTGTTTCATCCACAAAACTATTGAAAATATTGTGTAAATTTATCTTCATGCTATGTATATGAAACAAATGAATGTCATGTTTAGACTTGAGTTTAATCCCTAAGGTATTTCATCATGTATATGCAAATAGTTCAAAATCTGAAAAAAAAAATTAAAATGTGACACACTTATGGCCCCAACAATTTCTGCTAAGGGCTTCACTGTACTCTGTACTTCCAAATTCTTTGTTCTGTTATCTTTCTGTTATACCTAAAGAAGGACTACATAATTCTTAGTTAATCCTGTCTTGACGTCCTCACACTAATATTTCATATGTGAATTAGATTTGTTAGCTTCAAATGTAAAATATCTAAATTGTGACTATGTTAACAATGGGGGGTCTAACAGTGTAAGTAGGAAAATCATCATGAGGTATGGGTGGAACCGGCCTCAGAGATTTAATAATTTAAAATTCTGTCCCTTAGCTTTCAATTCTTCTCCTTCTTCACTCTACACCTCTCCAGTTCTTGTTTTTCTAGTACACAAGAAACTGTATGCTACATGCAATGCCTATTTACACCCTTATACATCTAAATGTGACAAAAAGTTTTCTTCCTGCTCCAGCATGACAAGTCCCAGGCAGAATGTTGCTAATGTGGTTCAGGTCACCTACTCTCCAGCGGACAAGTCCATGTGCGAGGTGATGGAGTACTGTGATTTGGTCCACTCCTGACATCAAGGGACAGAGGGATCAGCAACTGAGGAGACAGTGCTGACCCAGCCACTAGTATATCCCTCCTGGGCTGCCCAACCTCCCCAAGTCATATGTGGCTAATTCAGCGTGATTAGAAAATATTAAACAATGGCACACAGTAATGCTACCTCAAACTTCAACAGAGCCTTCCTTCATGAGCCTCTTTAACCTCTGGTCATCTTCTCTTAAGTACATCTGTACTTGTAATTAGGGCAAGGAAAAAAATAATACAAGGGAATCTCAAAGTCCAAGAGCATGACTCTAACACTTCCTTCTGTATTTGGAAAGTACAAAGCCCACATGAATAAATTAACTTCTCTCAAAGTCCCACAGTTGTTCTCACAAACTTTGACTCAAACATTTTCTTCTCCTTCTTCACCTTTCCACCACTTCCTCCTTCTCCTCTTCTTTTTCCTTCTTATTTCATTTTATTTTAATTTATATTTTTGATGCTGGGAATTGAGCCCAGTGCTTTCCACATGTTAAGCATGCATTCCACCAGTGAGTTAAACCCCCAACCCGTCTTCCCATGTTTACTACCCACTAACCGTACTTTCTCCTCCTAAACCAAACTTAACAGCACTGCATATGCTGAGCTGAAGCCAATGTTCTTATGAAAAGTTAACAAGACTGCTGCCTCCTTTAGAAGAGATTCAAATAATGCTGGTCACTGTAAGATTCTATTCTTAAAGGATGAGCTTTTTAGAAGAGCCATGGTTGCTAGGACACATCTTGAAGTTTCTTTGCCAGTGAGAATGATGGGCTTGCTTCAGCAACCTCACGCTTACTCCACTTGTAACCAAAGGCATATGTTATGGGAGGGCCTGCAACGGGAGGCGCAGCCTGCAGCTCAGGAAAACAAATCCTGGCATAGCTAAGTAATCTGGCTTAGTCCAAGAGGGCAAGATTTGTGGGTAAACACTGTCCTGGAAGGCTGTCTGCTTTCCTATGGTCATGGACTTGCAGTGAGGGATGCCAGGAGAACGGTATCACAGAATCCCATATGGATTTGTACAGTGCCTGCAATGGAGACTAAATATGAAGACTAAATATGGAGACTAAAGATGTCCAGCTTTTAATTCAAGAAATGTTAGTATAAAAACTTCAAAAATATGATGGGTTCAGAGAGCTTGAAATGGGAAGAGCAACTGGCTGGGCTCTAAAGGCAATCATAAGCATCTTTACAAGAGAACAGAGGGTGATTTAAAGAGAAAGAAACCTGAGAGGAACAGAGAGCAGAGTGACACAGACTAAGCCAGGCAGGAGGGCAACCTCCTCCGGAAGGTGGGAGAGGCCAGGAACAGGCTCGCCCCTGACTGTTTGGGAGGTGTGCAGCCCTGTGAACACCGTGGCTTTAGACTTCTAAACTCTGAAATTGTGGGACAATAAATTTCAGAGGCTGCATAAAATTAATCACATGGGGTATAAGTCAAAGGCAGAAATCGAACTAAGATCATACATCCACAGGTTGGTTTTCAGAAATATTTCCAAGGTCAAGCTGTCATTAAAAGTCTTTTATTATATTAGTCTCATCTAAAGTATGACAATGTAAATAAACAAATAAATAAATTACAATGACACATTTCAGAATTAGTTACATAACTTTTAAAAGTATTGCTTATTGGGTCCTACTCCATGTCTATTGTACCTGCTCCGGGAAAAAGAATCTGCAGATGAATTATTTCCAAGATTTCACATATGACTGGTTAAAAGTCAAGGCTGTGTGAACTCACTGATCTTTCCCTAACTGAAATTTCAGCAGCTTAACCCAGGAGCTAGAGAATACTCATACCTACCTTGATGATAAATAGGACGGAGTCTTCACATTTGAAGATCATCATTTTTAAATAAGAAGGTAAACTAAATCGGTTAAATTACAAAGATCAAGGTATTTTGGTCTAAACTCACTTTTAAGTC